GCAGAAAATAGGCGCCAAATGGCGCCAGCGCCGAGAATGAATGTCATATTCGTAATCAGGACACCAAATAACCCCTATACGGAAGTTTACACCAAATTTGGTGAAAACAGGTGTCGTGACAAGGTGACGCCAACTGGCGCCAGATGGCGCCACCGCTAAAAATGAAAGTCATTTTCGTAATCAGGGCATCGAATTACCTCTAGGCAAATTTACGGTAGTTTCTAAGGTGTACAAAATTACACTGCACGAGCGGAGGTGGTTTTACGTGAAATCGGCGCGGGCTTATAACCGGAAATTAGGGTATGTTTACGGTAAAGGAAATCTCGGCTCGTAAGGGAACTAGGTGATAGATCCGCGGTGACGGGCATGCCCGAGGAGGCTTACCCGTTTCTTTTGACCGCCATCGTGCTTCAGCGGCTTTCAAGCCACATGAGCTACCGCTTTTCGCATACTATTCGCATTTCATTTCAAAAAAAAAGCGCCCGTAACTTGTGGTTCGCCTGAGCAATGCCAAATCAACCAAAGCATGATTTTTGCTGGCACGATGCTTTCCATCGATGTATGTAATTCCGATCAATCTCTGCCGTGGTAAGTGAATCGTCCGCAGCGGAAACACCAACGCCATTTCCCTTGTCCTCTTCACCACAAAACTTTTTAACCCTTTGACGACCGTGTGGCCCGCCGGTGGGCCACACTTTCGCTCGGTGGCGACTCGTTTTTCGTGGTTTATTTGGCATTTTTATGTTTCAAACTACCAAATACATTATCGAATTCGCGGAATAATGCGCTCATTACTAATAATGAAATTGTTGGAGAGTTAATGGATATTGATGAAAAAATTTAAAAAGAAGTGAAGCAATGCACGCACCGAATAATTCTTCGGTTAAAAAGCAAATGCTATATATGTGTTTTAAAAAACCGGATATGAGCTGGACCCTCCAATGCGTATATCGGCCACAAACATTTCCCGCGGAAAAAAGCTGACTCGCTTCCAATTGCGAGCAGTAGTAATGCGTACTCCAAGCGGACTGGTAAACAGAAATACGAACACTTCGCTCTTAGGTCTGTTGCTCCCAGAACAGTAAGGGTTTTGCCGAAAGGTTCCACATGGATGATAATCACGCACGCAAAGGGATGGAAAGTATCGAGAAAAGCGCCGTCCTGCCACCCCTCGCTCCTCGACCAAGTCGAAGAAGTGCGTCTATTCCCGGACTACTCCTCGACCCGCGTAAATATCAATGAACGCAACAAGCTCAAAAGAGGATTATAAGGGAAAATTGCAAAACACGCTGATTTCTCGGTGGGTGAGATAGACATTTAATCGAGGGATTATAAAGGCTGCTATACTAACCCCACACTACTCACACTGCAGGAAGGTGGACCTAGAAACGGTATTGGAGCTGCTAGCCAGACGGAAACATCTCAGAGCACTCCTTTTGCTGTTCGATAAACCTACATCTATATGCCTTGGGAAGGCTTCATGGAGGGACCACTGAAGACCATCCTCTACGCTGACGACATCGCCTTGATAGCGGATAGTAGAGAGGAATTTCAAGCCAAGGTGCAGAAATGGCAGAAAGTCCTGGCAGAAGGTGAGCTCCGACTGAATGTCGAAGACGAAGTTCCTCTACGAGCCCTGAAAGGTGCAAGCACCGATCATGGACGCCATGTGAAACCAAACGAAAAGGGTGAGGACTCGATACAACTATGCCAAGCGATCATGGCAATGCGACGGTGGCGGTTCAAGGCGGGAGAGTCTCTGCGAATCAGAGCGCCTTCATTTTGAAGATTTGTTAACCATAAGCGCGGATCCACTGGATGCCTCTGAACAATGGAGGTGTCCATAAACAACGCTCAATGGGAAAGTGACCGGACACCCCTAGTAAGCGCTGCATGCTATATCTCTACCTGCAGCGATTCGCTGGCACCTGACGCAGAGACGCACGAGAGCGCGTCGACCCTGAGATTAGATGCTGACATTGGGCCGCGCCTCCAAAGATCGGCTGGACAGGGTTAAAAACGAAGATGTCAGAGCGGTCATGTAGACTGCCTCTGTCCAGCTGAAGGTACGGGAACAGCGTCTACGATGGTATGGGCATGTGCTAAGGAGGCCACAGGATCATCCGATAAGAACAGCGATGGACTTCGAAGTGCAAGGCAAGCGACCGCGAGGAGCCCCAAAGAAGAGGTGGAGAGACGTGATCAAGAAGGACCTAAGTGAAGTCATGGCCACAGCAGAAGATGCCCTGGACAGAGCAAAGTGGCGACGACTGACAAAGACAGCGGACCCTGCGACTGCGCGGGACTAACGCTAGGGAGAAGAAGAAGAAGAATGGCGTTCAACATACAACCCCCAAGCGTTTACTTACTATGTACTCCAATAGGTTGGAGACCGCGGTTGCTCGCTTTAAGTCAGAAAAAATTGAAGCGCTCAATGTTGCCGCAGCAGATGGCGACAATCTGAACACATTCATGAGAGAAAGCATGCAAAGGCTAGAGGAAGCGATAGGGGCTTTAGAGGAGGCCGGTGGTAAGATCCGAGAACTGTTACAGGAGTATGCGGAAACCCTCAGTTCACTAGAGAACCCGCCAGAAAAAGGAAACGAAAGACTTCGAGGAATACACCTCCAAGGCGGAAAAGTCACTGGTCATGGCCTTTAATATATCGTTCTTCTCCAAGCTCGCCTAAGAGCTTTCAAGGGTGAGTCAGGGCTAGCGCCCTCGACTTCAGTCCTATAGGAAAGTAGAGCTGCCAACGATCACGATCCCTCTTTTCTAGGGAAAAATCCGGGAATGGGGCAACCTTTCCAATGCCATTGTACATTTGCAGGAAATGTCCACTCTTTACAAATTCATCTATCTCTTGAATACTCTCAAGGGAAAACCACTTCAATCGTTACATAAATTTCAAGAAACGGCAGAAAACACTGCTTAGATCACATTTGCGATTGAACACTGCTGAAGTTGTTTCGTGATATTCAAATTTTTGTTCATTCACAGTACAAGAATCCACGGATGGCGGCGCTTACGAAATCGCGTTTGTCCCACGCGATCGAAAAGTGCTAAAAGAGCACCGTCGTTAATGTGGTCAACCATCTCCCTACATTGTGTAAATGCAGCACTTTACTACTCCGTATGTATCATGTACGCACAAGGAGCCATTATTTTGTTCCATTTACCATTAGAGGTACATTGGGCGCAAGCAAAAAGCGTTGAGCTGATTTGTAGTGATGACCTTTTAACGTGATACAAAAGGCTAGGACGTGTGGGTAATTTTTGGATGAAAAGAAACTTAATATAGACTCGCGTAACAGGTTTTAAGCTAGATTTGAGGGCGAAGCCAAGCTTCTTCCCCATGAGCTGGTTCGCTGACAGAGGTTACCCTTCGACCGTCTCCTTCACCTTCTATATAGTTCCAATTATGTCCAACACACATCTCATACACTCTACTAATCATGGTGAAGTTCTCCGTGGCGAAGTGCTGCCATAAAAGCAACAACTCTCGCGAGCTTCAAATTCCAGCAAGATAGCGCTACCGTCCCCGCGAGTGCCCCGCGGTTTGAAAAGAGAAATTTTACTCTTCTTATATGACCAGAATTAATAAGGACTCTCAGGCGCATCCTAGTCCTAGACTTTCAAACAACTGCGGACAGTTTGACAGATGGAACAAGCCACGAAATCCCATACAGAAGTTTGAATGCGGGTACCACTCTGAACAATCTCACAACTTGTCTTATGCTTTCAAAGTGGATGACTGAAACCACCAAAGGAAAGTATGTTGCATGTTTACAGCTATTATTATCTCTTCATTATGTAAACCACAACTTTGGTGTTACGGTTTGTTTGTAAGTTTGTCTGTCTGTCCGTCCGCAAAATGAAGTGAGTGATAAGGCAGCTAATGGAATAAACAAGGCCGCTAACAAATCTGGGTAGCTCGCAGGGCTTGAGCTATCAATGTTTTGTAATGGATGATTGTGATAACACCCAACGGCTATATAAACACCTACTTAGCACACTTCCGGTCATTCCACAAGGTGCTGCAGTGGCAGCTGGAGGAGCAATGGAGGGAGGAAGGGAGGATATGAGAGGGGGAAGAACACAAAGCAGGGAAGGAAGATTTCGGCTTCTGCTGGGGGACCAATCTGGTCGTTGTATATTTTGTTAAGCATACCGTTGAGAATTTGGAAAATCGAATTGACCCATACTTTTGTGGCATCATAATTTCCGAAAAAAAAATTCAAAAAAAAAATTATAGTTGAGTGTCTTTTCAAATTTGTTTACGACATATTAACACTGTCGTCTTGACCTGTTTATTGCTGATAAACCATTTGGAAAGAGATCAGTATTTCGTTTCATAGATATCGATGACAAATGGGATGGTTCCACAGTTCCGGGCACACTGTAATACACATTTCCTCCGCGACAAGTTGAC